GCGCCGCCCCAGTGCCCCAACGTCCGGCCGCCTCAGTCCGCTAACTTCCCCCAGTCCCGGCGCTCGCCACTCCTCCCCCCCCCTTTGCTTGGCCACGTCGGAGTCCCAGGAAGCTTGTCCAGTGAGGTTCCCGCTCCAGCCCCAATCACCTCCAATAAAGCCTTGTCTGTCCGCAGCCTACCTGCCTGTCTCTCGTCCTTAGTGAGGGACTCGGTCTTCACCGCCTTTCCGGGAGCCCATCCCCGTCCCACCCGTTACCCTGAGGTTCCTGTCTGCCCAGCATCCAGCCTTTCCCTCTAGGCTCATAGTGGTTCCTAAGGCGGCCTGCGGGGCGGGGGGGCACCTTGGGGCTCGTCTGGTGCTACAGCATAGGGCTAAAGTTTGCAATATATAGTTGGGTGATTGCATATATTTGGGAACATGTTAAAATATTTTGTGTTCTTGTTTTATTAACATCAAAATGCTAAGAATCACATTTGAGGAGCTGTGTTACTCAGCAAGACATGGGGAATGCAGACAGGAGGCTCCAAGAGCCCCCAGCCACTGGCCTCCAGCGGCCAGAAGGCTCCACTTCCCTCTTGGGCCCTCCCTAAGCACCAGGCCATGTGGAAACATTTGTCAGCAAACTCCAGTTCATCCAGCTCCCCAGACCTTTGTCACCTGGATGAAAGTCCTTGCTGTCACCCCTACCTGGGCAGTTGCTTTGGTAACCAGACTGTGAGCTACCAGCATATGAAAGGGGGCCTAGAGTCAGAACTGCAGCCTTCACTCAGTGCCCTTGTTTCTTAAATCCTTTCCCATTCTGAGTAATAGGGATTCTTACACTTAAAAAACCAGAAGCTATTTGAAAAGAAATAGCAGAGCCCAGCTGGTATGGCTCAGTGGTTGAGCATCGACCTATGATCCAGGAGATCTTGGTTCAATTCCTGGTCAGGGCACATGCCTGGGTTGCAGGCTAGATCCTCAGTATCCCCAATAGGGGGGTGTGCAGGAGGCAGCTGACCAATGACTCTCATCATTGATGTTTCTATCTTTCCCTCTCCCTTCCTCGCTCTGAAATTTAAAAACACACAAAAACCACCAAAAAATAAAAAACACAAAACACATTAAAAAAAAAAGAGAAACAGCAGAAACACTCATTTCTGAGTGTTTGTATAGTGCCTATATAGTGGGGAGACTTTCTAAGCATTTGGTGCCAAAATGTCATTCCAAATCAAAGTTACTCTCTGATGGTGAGAAAGATACAAGAAAGGTAAGCAGGAATGTTGGACAGACTAAGTTGGTGACAAAGGAAAGGATGCAGAACACCTCTGCTGGGTACCTGCAAGGCAAGGACCATGCCCAGTGTATGGGACGCAGGACCTCTTGGACCAGTGGGCTGGGGCTCAGGTGCCACTAGACCAAGTCCTCTGCCCCTCACCTGTTCACATACAAACACTCCGCATCCAGCCTCTTTCTGGCTGTGAATGTGTCTGTCAGGGCATGTGGAGACCATTCATGAGGCTGGGGCCACACATCATCCATCACCGAGGCCTGGTGCTTGCTGGAGGGGTGGCCAAGTCTGCTTCAGGTCTTGGGGGCAGGGCAGTCCTTATAGGTTCCCTCAGTAGCCCCCCCCCCGTCTGCAACCATCTCTGCCTCCCTACAGTGAAAGGATGGGCTACCAAGAAAGGGGTCAGGAGGCAGGAGATGGACAGGGCAGGAAGGGAGCCTCCAGTGGCCTGAGATGGAGGTGGAGTCGTGGGCCCTGAGGAGGTGGGAGGCGCAGGGGAAGGATGGCGTGGCCAGGACACAGCAGAGGCAGCAGAGCGGAGGCAGTGTAGCCAGGAGGCCATGAGCAAGGGGAACCCTGAGACACGAAGCCCTGAGTAAACTGGGAACTAAGGCACAAAGACATGAGTCCCTGAGGTGAATGAAGGCCCAAAGAGGACATGAAGTCCAAAGAGATGGAGGAGGCAGATGCCTAAGAATGGGAAGGTGGGGGCCTAGCGACAGGTGCTGGGAGGAGATAGAAGTTGGGCGAATAAGGCATGGGCAGTGAACAGCTGCAGCCCAAGAAGGGGAGGCCAGGGCATCCAGGGGGTGAGCCCCAAGGGGAGCCGAGCTCTGGTTGTGCTCATCCGGGTTCCAAACTGCTGTGGCCTGAGGGCCAGGAGGCTCATTTCTTGCTTTTGAACGTACCCAGGATCTTGGGCATGAACTTGCCCACTTTGCTGTCCCTGGCATCTTCCTCTGTTGGGCCCTCTCCTCCCCCTGGGCCCCCGGCCTCCTCCTTCTTGCAGAAGACCTCAAAGCGGCTGTAGACACGCTTTTCCTTGCGCATGCTCTCCATGCGGCGCAGCAGCCGGTCACGCTCCTCTGCACTGGCTGGCAGTGTGCGGCTCAGTCGGCCTTGTGTCCCCAGACTGTCAGAGCGGAAAATGGCCGAACACTTGTCCTTGTCGGACATGTCAGGGGCCAGGCCGCTGGCAGCTGGTGGGCGGCCTAGCTCAGGGCTGCTGTGGGCGGGGGAAGGGGTGGGGACTCCACGGTGCTTCTGGCCGTGGGCACTGATCTGCTCCAGAATAGCTTTTGTGTCGTCTCGCAGGTTGCTGCTGTACAAGGCATTGGCCGTGGCTGAGGTCACGCGCGCCCGCGGGCCCCGCTCCTCTCCTGTGGCAGCTTCTGTGCTGTCACCCCGGCTCAGTGATGGCCGCTGGGGGCTCTCAGGCTGCCCGTTCTCCTGTGGCGCTGAGAAGCTGCCCTCATCCTCTGTGCGCCGCTCACTCTTAGGGCTCAGCAACTGCCTGAGGCGCAAGGACCCCTTGCGCAGGACCTCCATGGGGCCAGTAGGCGCCTCCTCCACTGGCCCAGTCTTAGGAGACTCTCCAGAGAAGGTAAGGGTGAGGCTGCCCCTGCGCTCTGGCACGGGGGGCACCGGGCTTCCCCTGCGCTCTGGCACAGGGGGCACCGGACTGCTCCTGCGCTCAGGGTAGGCTGAGGTGGGGCTCCCCTTCTGCTCAGTAAATCCTGTGGTTGGGCTGCCTCTTCGAGTGGGAAACCCGGGGGTGGGACTCCCCTTCTGTTCGGGGTAGGCTGGGGTGGGGCTCCCTTTTGGCTCTGAGTGGGGCGCTTCCACTGGGGGGCTGTCCCGCCCTTGAGGGGAGGTAGAGAGGCTCTGGGCCAAGAGGAAGCGGGAAGGCAGCCTGTCGGTGCCACTCCGGCCCAGTGTGTCAAGCAGCTGAGTGGCAGTGAGTGTGGCAGCTCCTGGCTGCCGCTCAGCTTCCTGGTGCAGCCGCTGTGTGAAGGAGTCGCGGAGGTCGAGCAGGCAGCTCTCGAGGCTGCGTCGCTCACTCCCTGTGTTCCCTGGCACTGCCACCTCCTCCCCGCACGCCTGGGACACAACAGCCTTGCTATGGCTGGCGGAGGTGACTATGGCTGTACTGGAATCTCGAGCGGGGCCCTTGTACTTCTCCAGAAGCTCAGCCACCTTAGTGGAGGCATTGGAGCGCAGGGCCTCACCCCCAGGGCCCAGCATCTCGTCGACTGCCTGCTCCTTGTGCAGGAGCTGCACCTTTTCAGTGGTGGCCACAGTAGCCCCACCTGCACCCTCTGCCTGCGAAGCAAAGATGAGTGAGGAGCGAAGCCGGGAGCTACGCTGGATCAATGGGTTCAGGCGTGAGCGGAAAGAGTCCTGCTTGGCCAAGCCTGCGTCCTCCAGGCCCTCGCGCTCTGGGCCACTGCCGCCACCACTGCTGGAGCCAGGCACAGGGCCCTTTGCTGGGAAGGACGTGGGCACACGGAAGCCTGAGGGAAGCAGGTCCCCACCAGCCACCCTGCCCCCAGAAACCAGCACATCATCTTCATAGGCCTCAGCCTCCATGGGCGCTGGCAGGCCCTCCTCACCTGTGTCCTCTCCATGGCAACCGCTAAGGTAGGAGGCAAGGCGCCAGTGCCTTAGCCCAGCCCGCCCCTCAGGCCCAACCCTGCGTTCAGGCTCCACCTCCAGCCCAGTCTCAGGGCCCAGCCTCCCTGCTGCCTGGCAGGGGAAACGTTGGCCCACGTTGGGGCGTGGGGCCCCGCCAGGTTCCAGGCAGCGGGGTCCTGACTGGAACCCGGGACCAAAGGCCGGTTCTGAGCCGTGGCGTACCTCACGCGACTCACTGGATGGCACGTAGTCTAGCCGCTGGTGTCCATCCAGGCCAAGCTCAGGGAAGCGTGGCCCGGCACCCAAGGCGAAGTCCTCCGGATCTGTGAAGCCAGGGCGGCCAGCGCGCAGCTTTTCGAACAGGCCCTGTGGGCGCACCGATGCAAACTGTGGGTCCCACTGGTAATGCTGCTGGTAGAGCTGGTCACGGTGGAAGTGGCTGGTCTGGAAGCGGAAGTCGTCACCATGGCTGAGGAATGTCTGTCTTGACACCTGCCGAGCGGCAGCAAAGTTCTCCACCGCACCGGTGCCATCTGCGGCAGCGTAGCTGTGCCGTTTGAAGGAGTCCATCTCCAGGTGCCGTGCCTGGAAGAAGCCCCGTGGGCCTGCGAGCTCAGCACCTGGTCCGGCCTCTGTGTCCCACCGTCGTAACTGTGGCCGCAGCCCTGCATGAGGCTCCAGGGCACCCCCAGGCATCCGCTGCGGCTCCTCCCGGCGGAAGGCTGACAGGAAGTGGCGGTCAGGGTCGAGGAAGGAGGGGAAGCCTAGGCTCTCTTCCCGAGCCGGTGGGAACAGGAGGTGTGCTCGTTTGGGAAAGGAGAAAGGAGTTGGTGCCCCGGCCACCTGGCCGCCCATCAGGGGCCCAGCCCCAGAGTACGGAGCCAGGGCATAAGCATCCATGCGGGCCAGCGCCCCAGCCGCGGGCACCAGGGGCTCAGACTGTGCAAAGAGGATGCGGAACTCTTCATCGAAGCTGGAGACCAGCTCACCCTGGAACACGTGGGCCAGGCTGCGGTGGATCTTCTCGAAGGACCACATGAAGCTGGGGGTGGGATAGGGCTAGAGTCAGGGGAGGGGGTGGGACTCAGCAGCCTGTGGCTGGGGTGTAAAGTCTGCAAAAATGCAGGGGAGGGCAGGCTGGGCGGTGCTGTGATGGGCTACAGGAGGGGTTCTGGAGAGGAGGCCATGGGGCGGGGAGGTGTTGGGGCTTCAGGGCTGCGCACCTGTAGCTCCCACTCATCACCACGGCACAATCCACCAAGAGGAACTTCTCCTTCACGTGGCCCTTGAAGGACTTCCCAGTGCGGCAGTAGTAGGTGGGGCCTGCCACAGTGCGCACTCGCAAGAACTAGAGGGAGAGAGGCATTAGGTCTCTGCGGTGGGGTTTCCCGCCTTCCCTGCACCTCCCCAGGTCACTCACATCCACATGGTGCAGGCTGACACGGCACTTGTCCGCCATGTCCAGAAAGTGCTGTGCATTCATCTCGTCCAGCAGAATGTAGACTGGGATGCGGCGGGCAGCGGCCTCCAGCACTTCGCTGAGAAGGTCCACGTCGGTGAACATGTCCATCACTACGGCCACCACCTGCGGGGGTTGGGTCAAGGACCAAGGGAAGAACCCTCTGCTCTCCCCACCATTCTCTAGCCACACCTCTCAGCCCAGTGATCCTCTGAATCACCCACAAACTGAGCAAAATAACCACTAGCCCATCCCAGGGGAGAGTAGGGCCATCAGGGAATGGGGTCAGGAGGAGGGGCTATCAGAAGGGATGTGGGGCTGCTGGCCAGGTGGGTGGCCCATGGAGCCCTAGGTAGGCACAGGGCCTGCATCCTGTTGGGGAAGGGCTGTCCTGCTGGGGGTGGGTGCTCACTCCTGGGCAGATCCCTGGATGGGGCAAAGGTAAGGTGAGTGAAACTCCTGCAACCCCACCTGCTCCACAGATGTCTGAACCCCTGACCCTTGGGCAGAGGCAGGAGTCTTTAGCATTTGGACCTACAGCCTGCCTCTGTGGTTTAACAGGCCCCTTTGCTGCTTGCCAACTGCTTGGTGAGGGGTAAGAAACCCTCAGTTGGGTCAAGGGCAGGACTAGAGGTAATTTTATGAACAACAGAGCTTGGCCAGGAGATGGCCCAACCATCCCAGAGTCCCTGAGTACTGCCCATGGCCACAGACAAGCAAACCTATGTAGAGAAAACAGCCTGCAGCCTGGGATAAGCCAACCCTTGGCGACCCTAGGAGTCTGCCAGGAAATCCTTGCTGAAGCTCGCCTCACCCTCACCCCTAAGCTGGTAAGCTCATCTCTCTCACTCCTCAGGCTGCCCTCTCCCCCTGCCCACTGAAGTCCACAACAGGCACCTGCTGGGCAGAGCGGATCATCCTGCGAGCCTCGTCCTTGATGCTGGGGCTGTCGGGCGGCGGTGGCTGCACCAGTGTTGTGACTTCAGTGCCCTGGAAGCCGAAGGTCAGGGGCCAGCCCAGGTCGAGCTCAGGCACCGCCTGGTCCGAGTTCACGGGCCAGTAGGTACCCGAGGAGCCATCCATGTCCACGTTGGGAGGGCTGCCTTCAGGGGGCTCCTGGGCAACATGTTGTGGGGGCTGCAGGTGGCGGCTCACGTGGTCTAGTTCCTCAGGACACAGGAAGGCAGGTGCCCCCTCAGAAGCCAGGAAGCGGCTGTAGGCCTCTGGCCCGCCCTCAGCCAGTGCATCTACTGCCAGGCGGTAATACTCTTTGTAATGAGGTGGCAGGTATCCTGGTGCCAGTGGGTTGTCTCCCTGGGAGGAGCTCTGGGAGCGACGGGCCATGATGGGGCCAGGGGCCTGGGGGAGGGGCAGGAAAACGCATTACCAGGGCAGGGGCACTGAGCCCACAGCCCTCATGTTCAAGTGTGGACACACTGTGTAAGGGCTGTCTGAGACCTTGGGTGTGCTGGGAGTTCTGCCCAGGCCTGGAGGCTTTTAGGGCACCCCAAGACCCTAGGACCCTAGCTGGGAGACATCAGAGGAGCCATGCAACTAGGGCCCTTGCTCTCACCAGGACCCAGGGAGAGCCTTGCGCTCCAGGTTCCAGACGGGCTCCACACAACCCCTACTCAGGGTTACTTTATATCTTCAGCGGCCCCACTCACTTCTGCTTTGGGGACCCTTCCTGCCATAATATTAATATTTTATGACTGTTGGTATAAAGAAAACCTAATTCAGTCTAGGTTCTTTATTATGATATTCTTATTTTTCTTCTGATTTTATGACAATGCTTTTTTGTGGGTCCCTGGCACTCTGAGAACTAGACAAACTGAGTGGCCAACTGCCTGTCCCTGGTGCTGGGCCTTGGGGCCAGTTGCCTTGCCTTCCTGGCTCCTTACCTTCACCATAGTATTCAGCTGTCAGGGCTGACCAGATACCATGCCTGGCCCAAGGTGAGCTCAGTATAGAGCCTGTCACTACATTAGTCTAGCCAGAGGACAGTTAAGCTCCACCCACAGCCAATAGCCACACCTGCACCCATCCTACAAGGTCTCACACTCAGAGTCCCAAGGTTCTAACCTACCCTGCCCTTTGACCCGCCCCTCCCTACAGCCCTGCTTCACACTCCAGCAGACCTGGGCTGCCCCTTCCTCCTCCAGGTGAGCTGAGTCCTGACCCAGCCAAGCCCAGCCCTGTGTGGCAGCAGTGATCTTTCCTAGTCATCACTGCCCTACTCACTGCTTTGTTCCAGATGAAGTCACAGCCCTTTGCTGTGACCACCAGGCTGTCCTGGGTTCTGAATGTGCCTCTCCAACCATACCGCTCACATCAACTTCACAGCTGCCTGCCTAGGTGGAGGCCTCTCCTGAGCTCCCAGAACCCATCTACCCACATCCCATAACATGGATACCTGTTCTCCTACCCCAGGAGGAGAGCCCCAGGCACTGCTCACCCCACCCCTGCTGCTCCTGCCTAGCTCTAGGCTCCTGGATTTTTTTTTTGTTTGTTTGTTTTTAATATATCTTTATTGATTTCAGAGAGAGTAAAGAAGAGGGAGATAGAAACATCAATGATGAGAGAGTCATGGATTGAGCCCACAACCTGGGCACGTGCGCTGACCAGGAATCAAACCCTGATCGCCTGGATCCTAGGTCAACGCTCAACCGCTGAGCCACACCTGGCCGGGCTAGGCTCCTGGATGTTGATCCTGGCTGAGGGAAGCAGTTCTGCCCCCTCCTCACATGCAGTTGGCTGAGGCTGCCTGGAGGGGTCAGGGCTCTGTTGTGTACAATGAACTGGGGAAACTTTCTGGTCCACCTTCCCTGGGGATGGGAGGTGTAGGATACCTGTGTGCCATTCAGTTTACATTGGGCAGAGCTGCTACCTGGTCCCAGGGACAGTTGCTGACATTCCTTTGTGTGGGGATACTGTCCTGACAGCCCACAGTTGCACAGGGGTGGCCATACAATCCTCATTGTACAGAACCAAATTGAGGAATACCATATGGGGGTGTGAAGGGTGGGCCTGTCCGACTGTACCAGGGTCTGTGTCTGACCACAGTGTGTGGGGGAGTGCCTCACGCTGATTACAATGTGTGGGGATGTCACACTGTATCTGACCACAGTGGGGAGGTGCCTCACACTGTATCTGACTAGCATGTGTGGGGTGCCTCACATTATATCTGACCAGTATGTGTGGGGTGCCTCACACTGCATCTGATCACAGTGGGGGGCAGGGTCTCACTGTATCTGATCAGTGGGGGGGGGGTGTCTCAAACTACATCTGACCACAGTGTGTGTGTGGGGGAGTTCTTGCACTGGATCTGATCACAGTGCTGGGGAGTGTCTCACACTGTATATGATGGGGGACACTGTGGTATGTGGCTACACAGGGTCAGTCTGACCATGCAGGGCTTGATGGCACTTTCCATGTTGGGGCAACACACTAAAGAGGGAAGGGGGTCCAACACAAACTGCCCAGATTGCATGCAATGGGGGTTGGAGGTATCCCATGGTGGGTGAAGAACCTTCTCATCAGACAGGACTGGTTGGGAAGGTGGCCCTGCTCAGCCTCACATGGCAACACCACCACCTCAGTGTCCTGTTCCTCTGCTGGTTTCCTTTCATGGGTGTCTGCACACCCTGAACTGTGGAATGTAAAGTGGCCATTCCTCAGCCCGAAATGTGGAACCTCAACCAAGTGCCTCCCCACACATTTGCCTACTGCCACCTGCCTTCGGGGAGGGAAGGGTTCTTTTCCCAATGACTCAGCAAGAATCAGCTTCCCGGTGCTGACCTCTGACCTCAAGCCAGCCGGTGTCCAGGGGGCTCAGGGCTCCAGTGGGCTTGCACTAGGGACTTCAAGACCATGGACCTGTCCCATCTGGCAGGAGGGAGGTGTGGGGCTAAGGCTCGCGGGTGGGGACAGTGTGCCAAGTATGGAAGGGCGGGCAGGAGGAGGGTCCCCGAAGGCAGGACTGCGGGGTATTAGGAGCCCGGAAGGATTCCAACGGATGGGCTCACAGACTGGAAGTCCAAGAGCTGTACTTTTAGGAGCGCTCACCACAGAGTTGGCGGGCCCCAGGGAGTTAGCGGGGCCTGGGCGAGCGTCCCACTCCCCCACCCCAGTCCCAGGACGCGAGCACGAGAGGGCGGGGGCCTTCCGCTCTCCCGACACCCCAGGTAGGGAACCCGACGGGCCCGGCGCCGAGGCGCCTGGGCGGGGCACCCCTGGGGAGGGTCCAGGCCGGCCCAGCACTCCCCCCAGGCCCCAGCCCGCCTCAAGG